TAATATATTTAATTTATATTTGGTAAAGATAATATTTTGAAGAAATGTGAATCTTTCTGTTGTTGCCTTTGGGTAAGGCCCACTACAAATACACTTAAGGAACATAACACAAAAGAAAAGTATTATGATCATGGTTGCAGTTATTCATAAATCACAAATACACATGTGCGTACCTGTGTGTGTATGTATGCATATTCTTCAAATATATGCCTTACAGATCTCCTTATTTTTATAGCAAAATATGATGGTAAATGTCACCTTTTATTTTATCAGTCAAAAAATCTGATAATAGTAGTTTTTTTCACTCAGATATGCTAATATGTTAACCATTCATTTGCAGGACACATTGTAGTTAAGAGAAAAATGGAGGCATTTCAAATCCAAGCTTACTGTAACAACTGTTCATACCATGCTGTAAGAGAAATATATAAGGTCCCTCAAAAAAACCCAAAACAACAAATATAAGTGAAACACATATAATAAGGATTCAGCTACCTATTCATTTTGATATGTTCAGGAATTTCAGTTTGGGTTTTGATTTGGTTTTTTTTTTTAAAAAACAAGATTGTGTTTTTTAGGGAACACTTCTAGGTTCAGTCTATTAATTCAAAGTGACATTTTTATCCATTACCAGGTTCTCATCTTCTGTAATCCCCTCGGTCTTGACAAAATTTTAACCATTTGCTAGTGGAGTTATCTTTACTGAATATTTCTGAAACAATTGTCTGTTTGAAAACTGTAGAATCAGAAAACCTGTTGTGAACACAGGTACTGACAACAACTCCAGTGGTTTTTTTTAACTGACATCCAATTTTTTTTACTTATTGCAAGATTCTATCTAGATGTTTACGCTTAAGTACAAAAATCCTCGTACCTAGATTTTCCCTGGAATAGCAAAAGACATGAAGTAAAAGTAAGCATAATAATTTGTGACCAGGTGTATGATCAATCAGGTAAATCCTATATTTTCGATGCATTCCATTCATTACTGGATTATCATTATTGGATTAGATATTAGGAAAAAGTGTTTCACTGAAGGGGTGGTCAAGCATTAGAACAGGCTGACCAGGGAAGTGGTGGAATCACTGTCTCTGGAAATGTTCAGAAAAACATGTAGATGTGCTACTTGAAGACATAGTTTAGTGGTGGACTTGGCAATGCTGGGTTAATGGCTGGACTTGATGATCTTAGAGGTCCTTTACAACCTTTATGATTCTATGATTCTATCCCTATGTTTTCATTTTTCTTTCTGTTTGGTCTTGCCTTAACTAGGAGAAAGAACTGCATATTTGACTAATACTTTCATTGTAAGTGAGGTTTCATTGCTTCATGACACAATTTTTCAATCAAAAATAACATTTAAGACACAAGCATTCTGTAAGCATAATGTCTAAGAAATAGTTATGATAGGAATAGGAGTAAGAAAACTGCACCACACTGGTATGACTCTTACCCATTCTTGAGAATTCTTCTTCAGAGAATAGACTATTGGATTTCCATGCCAGCTCTGTCTTTCACCACTCCAGTTAGACCAATAACTGGAACAGCAGCGGTGACAATAATACCCATCTCTCAGTACTGTTCAGTAGATATCGAGAGTGCTTTATCAGAATTGCCAGCATAATTATGTCAGTTTCAAAGATGGAAAGATGGGACTTACAAAGGGAATGATTTACAGTGATTTACAACAAACCTGTCTTGTAGATACTTCGTTCCAAATTAGTTGATTGCTCTCTACAATGTTTTTATTTTCTTTGGCTGAAAGTGCTGACATCTATCTGAAGGATGGAAAGAAAGAGTAATCTATGTTTTAATTCAGTTTGTCTATGTCACAAGTGTTAGTGAAGTTTGAAGCAGACCCCATGAAATCTAATGAGACTAGATAAAGAAAAAGGGACCCATGACTGTCAGACTTTGGGAGAGCCTCTGATTTTTTAAACCTATGTTCAAGAGAATAGACAATCTACACCTTTAGAGTATCTGGGATTTTTGTAAAAATACCTTTAGGCTGATGAAGTTATCCTCTCCTATTACTGAGGGTCTGCAAATCTTGAGCAATGATTCTCACCAACATGTGAAATGTTTTTCCACATAGCTTATATGCTGGTTACAATTGCATATATGCAAGTTTAATAATTTGTTATATTTCTTGCACAAAATATTTGACTGCTCTACCCTCTAAACAATGTGTAAAGCAGTTGCAATCAAAAATAAAAAAATAACTTCATGAACTTTTGACTCTGAGATTTAGGCAAGCAGAATTCATGCTATGATGGATGTGACTGTAATTCTGCCAAAATAAAAGGATGTATTTGTCATTTATGAAGACTTTTCACAAGTTTCTTGAAGCAAATTACAGCAGGTCTTTGAAACAGTAATATACATTTCATACTGGCTGGGCTTCGCGAACGAAGATTTGAGAAGGATTCTACCCATGCTTACTGCAAGTGTGCCGGTGTCTAAAAAGGCCAATGCGAGATACGCATTTTATTTGCAGAAGATGCCTGTTGACCTCGGTTAACCAACTGGGTTGAAGGTGGAGATGAGCTTTGGTTAGGCCAATTTTTTATGTGGAGCAAGCAGTATTCTCCTTGGAAAAGGCTGCTTGGTCATTGAGGATGCTGCCAAGTGAGTCTGTCATCTCTGGGGTCAGACTCAGGCGACCAATATCCTGAACCACCTGCATGCAGGGTTAGGACTGCAGTTTCCAGTGCACCTTATCACCTGCTATTTCGTTCCTCACCTATTGCTACCGGGCTTTACAAGTGTGGGTATAACCTTTGAGCCTGCACAGTGGATTTTTTAGGTGAGGCACAGCTTGCACAGAACTAGTCCCACCCTTTACTCCTGAGGTTCATCTGCCAGGGCCTAGAAAGCTTGGACAGTGACAGCAAAGTCCTCAGGACATAGATTTAATTATGTAAGAACAATACATCCCTTCCAATTGCATGTACTTATGAGTTGGAAGCCAGAAAACTTGAATGTAGATTTCTGAAGTCCATCAAAAAAAAAATATTTAGCAGTATACACAGATTCATAAACAATTGAGGTTGTTAATCCAGAAATAATCCAGATCAGGCAATTAGGATGAATTTGATTGACTGTCTTACTGCGTTAATCTTTCACTTCTAGACTGGTTTTCAAATTTATTATTGATAGGCTTTTTCTAGCATTGTATTTATTCTCTTTTAAAAATAATGTAATAAAAAATATTTTTTGTCAAAATGTAGAAAGAAAAAGTTGGTAGATCTAGTTTACCTTTATTAATGATACAATCTTGAAGATAAGTGCCTAGGAAAAGCAGTCACAACCATAAGTTAGCCCAAAACTTCTTTTCCACTTTAAACATACAATAGCTTTATTTATACAATTTTTATTATTATTTTAACAAAGAACATATTCCAATCTTAATTAATTTTGTTGTTTAACAATGTTTTCAATTTCATAAAATACTTCTTTAAATGAAAGGCATGCAATTTTAAAAATATTATTACCATGTTAAATTTATTTTGAAGTTTCAGTAATTAACCACTTAATTTACTAATTTTAGCATTTCAGCCTTCAGTGAATATGTTATGGTTCCCAGGCAAAAGAATTAATGGAAAGTTTACTGCTTGATTAAATAATATTTTTTTTACTCTTTAACAAAAGAGCACTGCATTACTACTATTTGAGGTATTAAATAATCCAAAGGCAGGGAATCTGGGAATTCTGTAAAGGCAAGACATCAGTACTTTAAACCTTTAGGAGGTACACCTAGAATAAATTATATATTTTAGGAAAAAAACAAATTACTACATTTGAAGAACCATAAGAAAATGAATGGATAGAATGTTAATAATACTTGAAAACTCCTGATTGCCAAAAGAGACAAATGTTTAGGTAGATACATTTGCAATAATTCAAGAATTCACAAGAAAGGGAACTGGAGGTTTCTGACATTTAGATCTAGCAGGCTACAGAAAGTCATCCCTGAGAAAACAGAGAAACTCTTTGAAATTTATAGCTATATTGTATATATTAGTACATAGAGTGATATTCAGTCATATGATTTAAACTTTTTTCACATGTATTGTGAGAAATTTATTTTGCTATTGAGAAGTACTAAAAAATTAAACTATCAAAAACACTTACAAAAATGTATAGTCAATAATATTTTCCTTTGGTAAGTGGCAAAAAGATATTAATAAAATTTGTAATTGATAAACTTTCATTAATTATATATATACATAATACATTAATTATATATATACATGTATATATATATATAAACTGCTGATCTGTGGTGCTGCGAATATCATATCATTCTTTTGCAAAGTTTGGGTTGTCTTCCACAGGTGCCAAAGAAAGATATTTCTGGGCATAAAGTGTTCATTTATGCTAAACAAATACCCTACCTTTGATCAAGTCTACTGGTTATTTTATTTAAGTAATTTTTTAAGTATTTTGTAGAAATTATTGTCTAAATTACTCAAGCATCGGTATGCATGACAATGAAAGTGATTGTTTCACATGTTTCTGTGTTTTCTTAAGCTTACTGTGGCACCATCCATCATCTAACTTTAAGTATACCTGGACTTTGAACAAAAGAAATATCTATTTTATTTGTTTTAATAGAGTAAAAAAAAAACTTGTTAATTAGATATATCTAATTGAACTAGTTCTCCATTCGCTGGAAGGATGAGTTTCTGTGTCAAAAGCACTGAGTATCTCTATAAGTGTTTAAGTTCAAAATGGACAGACAGTTGCACTTTTAAAAAAATGATAACTTTGTGTAGTAATTTTACTGTGGTTTTGGATAAGGAGTTTATTTTTTTAAGTACTATATTGTGAAAATGCTTGTATTACTTTTAAAAGTAAGCAGTACATAATTATGAAATTGTGTGCTGTCAAATTAGACATAAAAATCTTTTCATCCTAAAAAAGAATATGATGCAGTAAAATTTAGAGAGTTTTGGTTGGTTGGTTGGTTTTTAATTTCACGTCTGTTTATTGTTTAGAAAAGAATATTTCTACTCCAGAAAAATCATGTTTGGGTCCATCTCGTAAAGAACGGATATCATTTCGAGACCATCCAGTACAGCTCAGCGGAGGATGGGGAGCAGGCAAAAAAAGGCAAAAGCTTAAAAATATTAGCTGAATATTTGAGATAATTTAACTAGTTGATTTAATCAAATATGGAGAGCATATGGAGACCTGTTTCTTTTTAAGCCAGTGAATATCAATTGTTGGATTCTCATTTATTACCAATAAAGCAGCTTCAGTTAACTACATTTGACTTATTTTATTATACATGGTTACAGTGGTTTGGGTTTTGTGTTTTTGGTCAAAGTATTTTATACCTGTCAGTAAGTTATCATAGTTTGTGTTTTCAATTGCTTATATGTTCATGTGGTGTAGAATGCAGAACTGATTAACTCTACAAGGTTTGTTGTACAGTGACTAAGTTTAGGTTTGCTTATAAGAACTGGATGAGAAGTCCAAATGTAATAAGAGTTCATGTCATGTATGTCACATATTGAAACACTGAATTCTCATTTTCTCACTAAATAAAATACATACTTGCAAACTGTGTTGTGAATTGTAACAACCATCAGTGCTATTCTTAGAGAAGTCTGTTTAGAATATTTTACTAAAGCAGCAAAAATTCGCAGCAATCTACAAATGGTGAGAATGCATTTTTCTTTTTTTAAGAATATGAGAAGTCCTTTGGATTTTTCATCATGAATTATTGTCATAATAGGATAAAACAACCTGTTATAGTTTTATACTTTCAAATACTTCTAATGATTTCCTAGAAGATTAAAGAAAAAAATAATTGTAAAGGTTCCCATTTTGTTCTGGAGTAATGAAAAATTAGACCTACATCACACTGTTAACCCAACTTAATTTGTCCATGTAGCCAGGCTCCTTCAGACCCATGTGTAAACATTTTGTGGTGCAAGGAGATCTAGAGAAACAGAAGAGAAATACTATTTCAACTATTCATGGGTATCTAACTCATTACTTCTGATGAATCCTTTGTTCATCAACATACAGGACAGAAAATGTTCCTTGATTTCAAAGCCTAACATTATTTTAATGTTTTCCACTTTGAGGGGAGAAGTTGCTAATTGAATCTAGAGAAACCTGTCTTTGGTATTTACTTGTCTGTTTTTGTCTGATATTGTGAGCCTCAGCTCCCTACAGACAGAGAAAGAGGTGGAGGAAGGCAATGGGAATTGAAACTTCAGTAAGAAAAGAATATAAACTCTTAATGTTGTGGTAGTTTTTAAAATGTACTTACATTGCTTGTGACATTATTTTGTGAAGTGCTTTTTATGCTAACATACACATTTGTATGGTTTAAAAGCAGTTACCTCCATTTTTGTGAATACTCACATTAATTTTCAGATAAAAAGATGGTCAATCTCATGGAAAACCTCCAGTAAATAACCTTGCTTGTTTGAACCAGTGTCCTGTTTTTATTATCATTTTACATTTGAAAAGTCAGTGCAGCCTACTTGAGAAAAGATGTCTTTGCCCTTCTGGGGAATTATGGTCATTGGAAGTTGCTTAACCTACCTGACTGTAGAAACCCTGCAGTTGTCAGCAGGACATAAAATATCACTAGGTACTTATGCTATCTAGTTGGTTTTCCAATGTACGTAGTTAGTGTTAAACTAGATTTCAGAACCTGCAGTATAAATACTATTAAATGTCACCCCCAAAGACTGGAGCTTTTGTGATTTCAATTTTAACATCAGGTTTTTAAGTTTTATAGGAAAAAAATTGTTATTTAAAAATATCTACCACTACATGTGGCAGTGCGTTTAACCACTGTTACAGGTGTTAACTGGAGATCAAAAACCAAAATCAAGTAGTTCACAATTTAACATTTCTTGCAGATTATCCCCTCTATTTGTCTAGAGTAGCTGTAATATACTGCACATCACCAGAGCTGTAAATAAGATACTTCAGATTTCATGCATCTTTCTATATTTATATCATCTATATAATCTATATCTGCATCTACCTCTATATGTAAAAACAACCTTTTGTATAAAAGTTATCATACCTTGTGTCTTTTGTTTTCCTGGTGTTTCTGAATGAGAAATATATCCCAGCATTTTTAAAGGCATTCTATTTTGCAAAGATAAAATGTAGCTTTTTAACATACAATTTACTAAATTACAAATTGGAATAGCAATATTCACTGACAGGCCTTTTTGGATTTATAATATGCTTAGTCTGCTTGCTATTCCATGACCTGATATTGTTATGCATAGGTTAAGTAGTATACCCAACACAAATGAAATTGTAAAGTATGTCAAAACAAATTGCTGTTTTCCTTACATAGCATTGCAATGTGTAGTAGTATGAGGTCTTATTATTGTATCCAAAACATTTTTCTCAGAATTGCAGTGTTGAAAATACAGTGTGTCTGATCAAATACAGATAAATGTGCAAGGTGCAACTTCTGTTCAGTCTAGCAGAAAGACCTTTATTGCATTCATGAATAAGGTAAAGCAACCATCATGCCTTGCTGTTCATAGTCACATCTTACAGTATGTAAGCTCAGAGGTGACACAAATGATACACATGGTGAATATTTATGACATGAATTTTTCAAGCCCTACTCTGCAAGCAGTTCCGTGATTTTTTGTGTCTTTTAGGGGTTTTCTTTTCCTTCTTTCTTTTACATTTTCTTTTTGTTCTTCTTTTCATTCTTCCCCCCCCCCCCGATGCAGCAATTCCCATGTAGGACAAGAACATATTCTTAAGTTTCTCTGCCTGTAGTGGCTTTGAACCCATGACACTGGCATTCTGCTCTGATGTCGGAGTGTCTGAGTCACAGTGACAGTCCAGCAAAACCTGCACCACAGATCCCCAAAACTCCGTTTCTGGATGTGCTACTGCCTTTGTGGTGCTCCAGACGTCTTCGTGGCTTACTAGCTTCATCTCCTCAACCCTTTTTTCTGTTCCCTGTAGATCTTTTAGGAGGAGGGATATCATGTGAATAAGTTCTTTTAAAAAATCTTCCTTGGATGTATGAAGCTTGAGACTCAGAAATGTGGAAAAGCATTCATTTGAATTTAAGAAGAGAACAACTAAGGTGCATTTATACTTTGAACTGTTGATGGATGTCATTCCCCAAATTGGAAAGCTTTCTCTGAGCTCTCCTGAAGGGAGCCTTGCAGTGTCTTTTCCTGTGCAACTTACCTGAAGGTATGCACAGTAGTTTGTTAAATCCTCTGTTGTTTGAATGGGGACATTAGGAAAAACACCTACAGCAACAAAAAAAAGCTCCCCAAAATGCATATTCTGAATGATAACTAAGTGCTAGTGGTACTCAGATCACCCACACCTGAATCACAAAACACGAGCAGATTTTCCTACTTAAGTGTTCAGACATGGTAACTGTGCTGACTCAAAAGATTATTGCTTGTTTTATCAGGTATGTAAATGACCAATGTATGGCATAGACATTGCTTTGGTACAGGCTGAGTTGGTGTCACATTTGGATTAGTAAATAATTATAATTCATTAATATATATTTCATATATATATATATAATTCATTATTAATCCTATTATTTATTAAAGATGTGTCCACTGTACATTTTTCAAGAACATACCTCAAGTGGAATCCTATTCTGGCCTCCGACACATGGCTGCAAAACTGCCACTTGGTCTTCCATTACAACTGTTAAAAGCATTATGAGAAATGTATTGGATTAATATCCCTTTAATTTTAATTTCAAATTATTGTGATAATGACAATGTGTATTTATGAAGGTACAGTCTTTCCTTGATACACACTAAAATAATAAGCATTCTTTATATGCTTTTCTTTAGTGAAAAAAAAAAAACAACCACATGAAAAGTAGCTATAACCACATGGCCCCCAAAAGGCAGGAACACAACTAAAACTATATTATAAAAGATTGAGTAGCCTGATATTACATCTGAGATTCAAGCAGTTTGTTCTTAGCTGTACTAGTTGGGGAAAAAAACTCACAACAACCAACCGAACAAAAAACCCCAGCAAACTAAGTTGTTTATGTTTTGTTTATTTCTTTTTACAGTCATAAGTGAAAAATGAACTATTTTTATAGGAGTTTGAAAAGCATAAGAACCTTGAATATTAGTCTGTGTCAGTCACTGCAACAGTTTTAGAGCCTGTGTGAGGAATGTATATCTGTACACTCATATATACTTTTGTAGAAGTGGGATGTCAAGTGGTCATGGATGTAGCTGTGGATAAGTAGGAATAGACAACTCTTGCTTCTCACACGAAGTCATAGAAATATGCCTAGAGTAGGGAAGGAGACTGGTATGGCCTGCAAGTAGCAATATAAGTAAACTAAAGTAGCTGTTGCATCTTGTGGAGAATTGCTTTCCTGGTTTCCAAGGTAAATGATGGACAGAAAAATGCCCTTGGCTACATCAGGCAGGCACTCTTTGAGCCCCAGGTTGTGCTGAGGATTTGTTAGCAGTAAGATCCCTATTGGAGAGATGTTCATGAAGTCCCGTGATGTTAAATGAACAGGGAGTGGTGTTTCAAAGAGATTTGTAGTAGAAATACTGTGTAACTGCCCCAGACTGACCATCCTTACGAGGACTGGAAGTTGAAGTGAATGACGTTGTGAACTACCCTGTTATTTACAGAGCGTTTTGACAATTGGATTGTTCTGTAGAAGCACAAATGGACTTCCTTCATTATTTTGGTGAGAGATGCTGACACGACTGGTTAGCACATACCATCTCTATCTGCCAAGGTCTAGCATTTGTTCCTCTCCTGATCTTCATTCGAGTGTTAGGTTTGTTTGGAGTTAGTAACCTTTTCTTAGTTGATTGATTGCTATTTATAAAGAACGTTTTTCTTTTTCCATAAAACGTTGAATAAGCCAAATACCGAGGTAGATGTAAAATTATTTCTGACTGAAATACCATTGATAACTTTTTAACAATAAAGCAGCTAAGAGCATTTTATGTTAGTAACAACCAATGCCGATTCCACTAAGGTCGGGTTTTCTTTATTCCTACTTTATTCATTTGTTAAATTTTGCTTATACAAAGAAACCAGAGGTTAGTTTTGGGTTTGTGGTTTTTGGGGTGTTTTTGTTTGTTTGTTTGTTCGTTTTTTTGGGTTTTTTGGAGGCACTACTTCAATCCTGAAGGCAAATAAGCACCACCAGCCAAGTAACTGAGCCACAACCAGCGTGGTCCACATATATCCTGAGACGGAAGACAGCTTTTTAGAGAGATCACTATAACTGTTTAGTTAAATTCTACTAAAGGATAAATGCCTCTGTTTCAAGACAGTTTAATTTTCTGTACTTGTGAACCATACTATGAAAAAAAGGAACATACGAAAATAAAATGGGCTCTATGTTCCTGCTGCATTCCGATCATGAGAGGAGAGCTGCCCCGTCCAAATGGCATGTTTTCTGCTACCGTCGCCGCGGAGGGGTGGTTCTATAGGTTATTCATTGTAAGAACACAAGTCAAGCCGTGAACTTGACTCTAATTTGCCTAATACGTTACCATTTGTGCAATTGAATACATTTTCCTTTAAACGACGATGTCCTTATTGTGAGAAGAGAAGGCGCACTGGGAGGTTAAAAAAACAGCTAGGCGAGAAGATAATACATCAGCCACGCAGTCTCAAGAAATGGTAATTTCTGGTGTCTTCTTCTCTTCCCCCTGCATTTTACTCTTAATTTGCAGGTTCTCTGATAGCTGCGGCGCGCCGAGAGGCTGCAGCTGGTGCCAGCCCGGAGCGGCACCAAGGGGCTGTGCCCGGGAAAACGGCTCAGACCGACTGGTTTCCATTTCACGAGCGACAGCTTCATTCTGCAGTGCGGGTTCACCCCTATTGAGTTCTGTGAGACTTTTGACTGAAACTAAAATAAATCACCGAAATAAAAAGAAAAGAAAGAAAAACATCAAACAAAACAACCCCCAAAAAAACAATAGCAAAGAGCTGCATTTTGTGCAGCCCCTGCATGTTTGTGCCGTTTCCATTGGCTTTTCATTGCAGGTAATTACTCGGGAAGTTGTTGCCTTTATGTAATGTGCAAGCCTGGCCGTGTGCCGAGTTAAGTTCCGAGCCGTGGCCAGGGCGGTGCGGGAAGGATTTATCCCTGCTCTGGGGGGATGCGCTGGTTGAGGTGATAAGTGGTCAAGGGGCGACTTGCCTTCACCTGACCGGCACCTCTTGCCCTGCGAGCAGGAGGCGAGATAGGGATTCGTGCTTATCCAGTTTCGCTTTACCTGATTACTTGATAACATGAAACATCTTATGCTTTGCCGTAGCACAAATGCAAACACAAAGGAGAGATTTGCCTGCTGGGTGGTGTCACCTCCTGACTGCCCATCGCTGCCTGATACCCTCTAAAAAGAGCCAGGACACAAGCGGGCTAGG